ATTGTAATTAGTATAATTAATATTGTTTCCTGTGGGGTATGCAATTTTCTGTTTTTAAGATTTTTTTTTTTTTTTTTTTTTTTTTTTTTTTTGAGACAGGGTCTCCCTGTAGCCCCAGCTGGCCTGGAACTCAGTATGTAGACCAGGCCGGCCTTGGACTCACAGAGACCTGCCTGCCTCTGCTTCCTGAGTGCTGAGATTAATGGCATGCAACACCACCCCTGACTGTTTTTAAGATTATTTATTTATTTATTTATTTATTTTTGTAGTCCTGGAAAGGAATCCAAAGTCTTACACATACTAGGCAAGTACTCTACTACTGAGCTACATTCCCAGCTCTTGGTTTTTGAGACAGTGCCTTGCTATATAGCTCAGGCTGATCTATAGTGATCTTCCTGCCTTTCTCTTCAAGTGTTAGAATTGCAGGTGTGCAGGTGGTTTTCAGTGTTTGAACTATTGTGTACCTAGGCATGGCTTTTGTCATATTAGTCCTTCTGTAAATATTATAAATTTCTTGAATCTTTAATCTTTATAATTCCTCAAATTTTGGAAGTCATCAGACATTGTGTATGTATACAGTGCATGTGTGATACATTCATGTTTTCCGGTGAGGGTGCATGTGGAGGTCAGAGGACATCTTGGAGTGTCAGTCCTCACCTTCTACTTTAAGACAGGATCTCATCACTGCTACCTACTCCAGGGTAGCTGGCTGGAGAGCTTCCAACGATTCTTTTATTTCTACCCCCTTCTCCTTGTAGGAATGCTGAGATAGAGTCTTCTTGAGCTACATGTCTAGATTTTACATGGGTTCTGGGAACTCAGATTCAGGTCCTCACACTTGATAACAAGTACTTTCCCACTGAGCCATCTCCCCAGCCTCAGCCATTGCTATTTTTCAACTAAGTCCTTTTGGCCTTAGTCTTTCCTGAATTCCAATTATGTTAGTGTTAGATTTTCTGATTGTCCTACCATACAGCAACACTCTGTTCTAATTTTAAATTTTTCATTTTATTTATTTGGGGGTTTTACTTATTTTTATTTTATGTGTTTGAGTGTTTTGCCTGCATATATGTAAGTGCATCCATGCATGCAATGTCCTCAGAGGTCAGAAGAGAAGTTACCCTGGAATGTTATGGAGAGTTGGGTGCTGGGTTGTGCTATCTAGATAGCTTTAGTGTCAACTTGGTACATCTGGGTAAAGGTAGCCTCAGTTGGTGAATTGCCTCCATTGGACTGGCCTGTGGCCAAGTCTATTATAGAGCATCTTCTTGATTATTAAGTGATGTGGGAGGACCCGACCCACTGTGGGTGGTGCTCCCCTGGGCAGATGCATTTATGTTGTATAAGAAAGCAGGTTGGGGCTGGAGAGATGGCTCAGTGGTTAAGACACTGGTTGTTCTTGCGGACGACCGAGGTTCGAATCCCAGCACCCACATGGCAGCTAACAACTGTTCATAACTCCAGTTCTAGGGAATCTAATGGCCTCTTCTGTCCTCTGTGGGCATTGCACAACACAGGTGCACATATCTACATGCAGGCAATACACTCATAAACATAAAAATAATAAATAAAATATTTTTTTAAAAAGAAAGGTTGAGGCGGGTGGTGAGGCTATGAGAGAGTGCGACTTGGGATTTGGGTATATAGATGAATAAGATTGTTTGGGATGTTCTGTATGAAATACACACAAAATAAATTTTAAAATGAGTTATATTTGAGGAAGAAACATTAAAACTTCATGTTAATTAGTAGATGTGAAAAACATTACCATTGAAATCTGCCTGATGACTTTATATCCGTGCTCAGGTGCCATGGATCTCAGAAAGTAACTGGCTATGACTAGTAATAATCAGAAATATAGAGGTTAGAGACACTTGTGCAAACAACTAAGTGCTAGTTGCATTAAAAATGAGTTTTTCTGCTGGGCGTGGGAAATAAAAGTTTTTCTGTGTGAAACAGTATTTCTTTTTGGCATCTTTTTGAGACGGGGTCTCCCTGTAGCCCCAGCTGTCAGGAACTCATTGTGTAGACCAGGCTAGCCTTGAACTCACAGAGATCCGCCTGCCTCTGCCTCCCAAGTGCTGGGATTAAAGGCGTGCGCCACCACTCCCGGCTGGAGATCTTTTTTAAAGGTTAAAATCTCCCTCAATTTTATGTCTTCTAGGGTTTATACTGAGTACAATATTGCATAACTGTATTAATTCAACTGTGAACCTAAAAATTGACAGCCAATTTTGAAAGATGCATCTTTGCTCTGAAAACTGTTATTGAATGTGTCAATGCTGTTGTAATGAAATGCTTCTACTAATTATGTGGTTAATAAATAAAATTTTAATATTTTATTTTTATGTGTATGAGTGTATTGCCTGCATGTATGTGAGTGCACCAGTGTCATGCAATGTTGCAGAGGTCGACGGCTTCAGATTCCCCTGGAACTGGAGTTAAGGACAGTTCATAGCTGCTATGTGGGTGCGGGGAATTGAACCCAGGTCCTCTGCAAGAGCGGCCACTGCTCTTAACCACTGAGCCATCTCTCCAGCCCCATAAATAATTTTTTTTAAAAAATGAAAAAAAGAAGAAAAAAAGAAAGCAGGTTGAGCACGGGCCAGAGGCACAAGCTAATAAGCAGTGTTCCTCCATGGCCTATGCTCCGCTCCAACTCCTGCCTCGGGCTCTTTGATGAATTTGTGACCTGCGAGATGTAAACCAAATAAATCCTTTCCTCCCCAGATTAGTCAGAGTAGTTTGTCACAGCAATGGAGAAACAAACTGGAACCTGGGTCCTCTGCAAGAACAGCAAGTGTTCTTAACCATTATCTCTCCAGCTCCTATTTTGGTGGGGTTTTTTTTGGGGGGGGGGCGTTGTCTTTTTGAGACAGGGTCTCCTTGTAGCCCCAGCTGTCCTGGAACTCACTGTGTAGACCAGGCTGGCCTCCCAAGTGCTGGGATTAAAGGCGTGTGCCACCGCACCTGGCAACCCCCATCCCTTTTTAAATTTTATTTTGAGACATAGTCTTGTTCATGGCCTCAAACTTGTGACCCTCCTGCCTTCAGCTTCCCTAGTAGCAGGATTATGAGTGTGCTGAGGCCAGTTTTGAGCTGTTACAAGTAATTCTATGAACATGGAGGTCTCATCTCTTTCAGCAAAATTGTTTAAAATTTACCTACTTTGTATCGGTAGTTCATTTCTTTCTGTTGCTGAGTAGTATTCCACCTTTCAGACATACCACATTTTGTTGGTCTGAGTTTGGGGTGTTAGGAATAAAATAGCTGTGAACACTAGGGTGTAATTATTTGTGCAGGCATTTGTTTTTAAATTTCTTCCTTGTACCACTATGCCTAGCAGTACTATTGCTAGATCATATGGTAAATGCATGTGACCGTTTTCTAACATGGTTGCAGCTTTTACATTTCTAACAACGTATTTGGAAGTTCCTTTTTTTTTTTTGAGAGAGGGTCTCCCTATAGTCCCAACTGACCAGGGTGGCTTTGAACTCACAGAGATCGGCTGCCTCTGCCTCCTGAGTGCGAGAATTAAAGGGGTGTACCACTGTACCCGGTTGGAGGTTCTTTTTTTTACATCCTTACCAGTACTTAGTTTTACCCATCTTTTGAATATCATCAGTGTTTCCATCAGGGATGGCGGTCCTGTAAAATAATAGAGTTGAAAATTGTCTATTTTGAGGTGAAATTGTGGCCATTCTAACATCACAGTGCAACATATTCCTTGAATTTATGGTGCTGCTGGTGTAAATACTATAACTGCCTGTCATAACCATGAAGTACACATAATTTTCTATAATGCATAATACTTTATGCTGGCAGTAATTAGCTATTGCTGGATTATATATGTATTTTGCTATACTTTTTATTGTTATCTTAGAGTTTATTTCTACTTATGAAAAAAATTTAGGACTCATGAAGTGGTTCATCAGGTAGAGGTGCGTGTACATCAGCCTGACAACCTAAGTTAAGAGAAATATGTGACAAAAGCACCTAATGGACACATCTCAAAACTAGCTGGCTGCTTCACAGTGAATAACTGTCTGTGCATTTTCAAATGACTAGTAATGTTGGCTCTTTCCAAGTACCACTGGCCCTCTGAATATCTTTTTGGAAATATTTAAATATTTTGCCCATTTCAAAAGCTGGGGATTTGGCTAGCGTGAAAAATCAAACCTAGGGGCTCACACAAACTAGGCAAGTATGTTGCCTCTCTGCAAGCTGCATTTTTAATGATTGAGTTGTGTAAGGTTTTTTTGTTCTTGTTTTTATACTCTGCTTGTGAATTATTTTCAGATGCATGTAATATGACTGTTTTCTCTATTTCATGACCTGCCTTTAAGTGGGACTCAGGCCTCTAGTAATCTGCCACTGCCCTTTATGCTTGTTTTATCACTAGTAATTATGATTTTGATTACTTTAGACTTCAGTGTGTCCTAAAGTGTCAGGTAGGGTTAGTCCTATCTTTGTTCTTATTAATGTTTCTCTAACAAATCTAGGCCTGTTGCATTCCATGTGGGGTTTTTGTTTGTTTGTTTGTTTTGTTTGTTTTTTTTGTCTTTTTGAGACAGGGTCTCCCTGTTGCCCCAGCTGTCCTGGAACTCACTATGTAGACCAGGCTGGCCTTGAACTCACAGAGATCCGCCTGCCTCTGCCTCCCGAGTGCTGGGATTAAAGGCGTGCACCACCACGCCCAACATGAAATTTTAAATCAGCTTATCATTTTTTTAAATACTTTTTTAAAAAATTTACTCATTTTTATGTGTTTGCGTGTATTGCCTGCTTGTAGGTAAGTGCACCCATGTTGTGCAATGTCCTCTGAGGTCAGAAGAGGCTGTTGGATCCCCTGGGACTGGAGTTAGGGAGAGTTATTAGCTGCCATGTGGGTGTTGGGTCTTTTGCAAGAACAGCCAGTGTTCTTAACCGCTGAGCCATCGCTCCAGCCCCAATGTTTTGAATTTTTATCCATTTTAGTATTTTCCTTTCTTCTCTTGTAGATTAACCTAACATGGCTGACCAGAGGCAGCGCTCACTCTCTACCTCCGGGGAGTCACTGTACCATGTTCTTGGGCTTGACAAGAATGCAACCTCAGATGACATTAAAAAGTCCTATCGGTAAGAGGTCATGTCATGTCTCTTCAGAAGGATACAGATTGTCATATGGCTTCTTGAACATTTTACCAGTCCTCAGACTTAAAACTATCACATTAATGTTCTCTTAGCAGCAAAAAGGAAACACTTTGCAGATGTTGCCCATTATCCACAGTCCACAGGGTCAGAGTCTGTACCTGTTGTAAGAGCCTGTTGAGCATAGGCAGAGTTTTACAGTGGCTAATGTTGTACTTCAACATAGTGATAAGGTCTCTTCACTCTATGTCATGACCTTTTGACTGGACTTTGTAAGAATTTAGCTCTTAGGTGCAGCATCATGTGGCTCTATCTAGAAATGGAAAGGCATTGTCCTAGTTACTTTTCTATTGCTGTGATAAAACACTGATCAAGCTGGGCGTGGTGGCACGTGCCTTTAATCCCAGCACTTGAGAGGCAGAGGCAGGCAGATCTCTGTGAGTTCAAGGACAGCTGGGGCTACAGGGAGACCGTGTCTCAAAAAGACCACAAAAAAATAAAATAAACACTGATCAAAAGCAATGTAGAAAGAAAAGTGTGTATTTCACCTTAGAGCTTACAGTCCATCATGAAGGGAAGTCAGAGCAGGAATCTGGAGGCAGACGCTGAAGTGGAGACCGTGGAGGAATGCTGTTTACTGATTTTCTTCTCTGGCCTATGCTCAGCATGCTTTCTTAAAAACCCAGGACCCCCTGCCCAGGGGTGCACCATCCCACAGTAGGTTGGCCCACCCAGATCACTCAACAATCAAGAAAATGCCTCAAAGACATGCCCATAGACCACTCTGATAGAGGCGATTTCCCAGTTGAGGTTCCTCTTCCCAGGTATGTCAAATTGACAACTGAAGCTACCCACACAAGCATTGGCAACTAGACATTCCAGTTATCCTGTTCTTGCACTAAATGTTATTTGGCAAATGTGCAGTTAGCTGGCCAGGACACTAGGGGTCAGCAGTAGGCTTTCCCTTTGACAGCAGGAGTGCTATAAGCTGTGCTCTACCCTTACTACTTCAGGACTCTTCCCCCTGTGCATGGATCCTGGTGGGGAGGTTTGCCCTGAAGCAAATGCAGAGACGTCTTTTAACTCTGATGATCCAGATCTCTGGAAATTTGGAAATTGAAATGGTAATGGGTTAGCACCTCTTTCCATGGACTCTCAGATGTGAAATGCAAAACCAAGGTAGAGCCAGGAACTGGTTTTGGTTTGCAGGAAGCTGGCCCTGAAATACCACCCTGACAAGAACCCTGATAATCCAGAGGCTGCAGACAAATTTAAGGAGATTAACAACGCCCACGCCATCCTGACAGATGCCACGAAAAGAAACATCTATGACAAATACGGCTCACTGGGGCTCTACGTGGCTGAGCAATTTGGGGAGGAGAATGTCAACACATACTTTGTACTCTCCAGCTGGTGGGCCAAGGTGAGCTGCCATACTGAACCATCTAGTACCTGGTAGGACTGCAGCTACAGAAGGCTCTGTTCCTCCATTCTCTTGGTATGGTCTGGCCTGGAGCTGTCCCTGTCCTATATGCTGTGCAACTGGAATACTGGTCCACTCATGGTAGGCATAGTGCAAAGTGCGTGGAGCAGAGCCACTTCCATCAACATGATTTTTTTCTGATGCATGGCACTAAGTTCTTGAAAGTATTGAGATGGGAAACAAGCCTTTCATCATAGTGTGAGCAGGCTTTTTGTTACCGGGAAAGGCTTCTTAAGACTCTTAACTTTGAAAACTTTTGATTAGCATCAAAAGTTTGTTTTATTTGTTAAGTTTTTTCCTTTCCTCATTGGTCAGCCATATATAAGACCAAAGAGTAACTATGGCCTTTAGCTATAGGAAGCCCAGTTTTGGCTTTGGTCAGTATTCAAGTTCGTCTTTTTTTGTTTTTGTTTTAATTTTAGAAATTTATTCTAGATTCATAGGTGGGAACTTAAGAGGGAGAGAACCATGCTGTTTGAGATAGGCATGAAGGTCAGCCATGTGACAGACAAGCAGTAATTGCAAAAAGTTTGTGGGGGGTGCTTAGAGAAGGAGTAAGGGAGCCCAGAGTACCAGAGAAAGCACATATAGGCTTTGGCCAGCATCTGAAAGAAATACTTTTTTAAAAAAGGAAAAGCTATGCTTTGTCTGAGTCCTGACTCAGAAAGGTGAGCGGACCCAACAGACCCTCATGGTACCTCATGCTCATTCTCATCTGTTTTTCTTCCCTTTCCCTGCTAGTTCACTCTGAACGATACTGTTAGCATGAGCTGTGCCTTCTGCAGCTCTGTCCTGTCTTCTAGGGGGGGTCTTGTCCTGTGGGCCCTCCAAGCCATGCAGCGCCAGCATTTTCTCCCCCAGGCCCTGTTTGTTGTCTGTGGCCTCCTCACCTGCTGCTACTGCTGCTGCTGTTTGTGCTGTTGCTTCAACTGCTGCTGTGGGAAGTGTAAGCCCAAGGCACCTGAGGGTGAAGAGACGGAATTTTACGTGTCCCCCGAAGACCTGGAGGCACAACTGCAGTCTGACGAGAGGGGTGAGTGCCCACCCCAGAATCACGGGCCTGTGTGGGGTGGAGCCAGCACTGGCCCTGAACGGTGTCAACTGTCTTGTCAAACAGGAGGGCACTGACACTGTGCCGCGAGTGTTTGTGGTGGCAGCTGGGACTGTTGAGGTGTGAACGTGGACACTTGAGGTAAAGCAGGTGCAGGAAGCTGTTCCTGCCCATGAAATATGGTAGCCATAGATCTGAGGGACTTAGAGGTGGGGTGGGCAGCAGGCAGGTTGGGAGGGCCAAGGGCTGGTATGACTGAAGCCACTGAGGAAAGTATGTTGGGTGGAGGCCAGCAAGTAGCTTCTCCCCTGAGTGTCTGTCCAGGTGGCTGAGTGTTGTGATACAAGGATCGTGTTAATTGGCACACAGCACAGCTACTGCCCTTTTGCGATGAGGCTGCCTGCTTGCTTTTCAGAGGCCACAGACACACCGATCGTCATACAGCCGGCATCTGCCACAGAGACCACCCAGCTGACGGCTGACTCCCACCCCAGCTACCACACCGACGGGTTCAACTAAATTCAGGAGAGGCTGTGATTAGAGGATGAATCAGCACCCGGCCACTGCAACCTTAGAATCATGAACTGTAGTCACTGATGGGGAGGCAGCCGTCAACCTGACTTGCTATGGCTCGTCAGGGCCTCCCCATCTCCTCTATGCCCACCCATCCATCAATCCTTGATACATGAAGTACGTAGCATGCAGTATTTAAAGCAGTGTAGCTACGGTCTTCTCCTCCTCCTTCTGTTTTATCCTTTTTTAATAGCATGTATGGGTTATGTTCAGTGTCTGTGTTGTGGATGTGCTGCAGCCTGGCCACATTAACTGGATGGTGGAGTTGCCTTGGGCTTTCAGCTAAGTGGGTCCAGTGAGGTTCAACTGTCTCCTTGTGTTTACAGGAGTCAGAGGCAGACACCTGGAGCCACAGCTCCATGTTGGCCTTGGTACCCCATGACAGGGTCTAGTCCATGGCTCTGATCTCATCCTCAAGGCTGCAGGCAGGGTTTTGATTTCACCTGTCAAGGAGGGAGCTGGGCCACATCCTCCAGGCACCACCAGCATCAGTGCTTTGCACAGTGTTCGTGTTGGGAAGCTCGAATAGGGTCTCTGCACCATCTCACTCGACCTCGTGAGTTTTCCCGTTAGATCTGCTATGGAGAGTACAGGTATGCCCCTTCTGAGAGTGGAAGCACGCTCTGTGCGGTATATCTCTAGCCCGGGTCTCCTGGAGGTATGTTCCCTCACTGGTGTGTGGGAAATCATTTGTCTCTGTTCTGCACCTTTTCAGGTCAAAAGCTGGATTGATGGGGCCACAGCCTCCTTCCCTCATTCCTGGGTCGTCATCCACATTCCTTCAAGCCAACCTATTTTTTTTCCCTTTTATGGACTTTTTAAGGTCCACAAATGGTGGTAGCACCTGCCACTTAGTCATAGTGAGAAGGTTTGTGAGTCCAGTTGTAGGTGGCATTGTGGCTACTTGTAAAGTGCTTGAGTGAGGATCCAGCAACCAGAGCCTTCTCCCTATGCTTGCCAGAGCTCCATCCACCCTCACTTGCCTTCACTTCCACTCGTCATCATCAATGCCTCAGGTGGAGATGGAATGTTGGGTTCCTGGACCAGGTAGCTAGACCCATGGCCCCTGGCTCAGGAGGGTTGGCTTCCAAGGAAGTTGTGGTGACAGTCACCCAACCTGGGAGGCCAGCACCAGGCCACAGAATCCCTTTATGAACATCACTCTAGTCGGTATTCCAGTCTTGGTTAGGGTTACTATGGCAGGGGAAGTTGAGGAAATGTGGGTACCAAGAACTTGGCACCACCCTGTCCTTCCACAGTTAGCTGGATTAGCTTCACGAGACTTCAGTGAGCCAGGTTGCTGCAGATCCTTCCCGTTTGCTGCTGACCATCTGCATTTCCAGTACAGATGAAGAATGAGAAGGCTCATGTGATGGCTCAGTGGCCCAGACAAACCACCATGTTTCTGAAGCCAGCCCCCCTTCTCCCCTCTCCCAGCTCACCAGGGAGCAGATCAGGTTGACAGGAGGTTGCAAGAGGGGGCAGCAGTGTGAGGGCAAACTTGCACTGACTGAGGGTACCTATCCAGGTCCTGGGAGGCACTGTGGTGCCAGAGTCCCTAGGCAACCCACAGCAGAACTGTGTGAGCCATAAGCTGACTATGAGGTCCTTGGGTTTGTTAGTCTGTTTTGCTCTTTAAAGGATCTTGGGGACATTCACTAACATAATAAGTTAGAAATAATTTGTTAACACCAGACCTATAGCTAGGTTTAGTGGGGCATGCATATAATCCCAGTACTTGGGAGTCTGAGGCAAGAGGACCTTGAGTCCCAGGCCAGTCTGGGCTACATAGTGAGACCCTGACTGAAAACAAAATCCCTCTGGTAGAAGGATAAGCAATCCATTGCTGAGCCCATTGTTAGAACAAGGGAAGAGGAGAGGCAGCTGAGCAATCTGGGTGCTCTTCTCAATGTACTAGATTCTATAATGGCCAGGAACCCAGTTCAGAATGTAGGTGAGGGGTAGAGAGCTGCAGTCTGGTCACACATCCATCCTGTGTGCAGCTCTGTGGCCCTTTCCCTCATGTTCTAGTAAGCCAGATCCTGAACTGGGGCTCGTGGGTGCTATTAGGGTGAAAGTACAGAAGTTGAACCCAGTGTCTTCGGGAATTTGTAAAACTAATCATGTAGAATTTGAAACCCTCAATTTGTAGGGCAGTTTCAAGGTGATGATAGTGATTGCCAGAGCCAGCGCGTTCTCCCTGACTTATCCCTGAGCAGACTCCCTTGCAAGGTTTTACTGTGTTGATCTAAGGTTTCCCTGGTTTCATTTGCCCTGAACTGAGCAGAGCTGGTAAGTCTCAGGATAATCCTGATATTCTGTCCTGTCCAAGTACTAGCAAATATGGAGACCCCACACACATACTCCCTAAACTCCTATACTGGTGGGCCACATGGACGGTGCTGTGGCATATTGCCAGAGGAGTGCTGGAACCAATCCATTGGAAGCCCATCCAGTGAAGTGGGTGCCCCTTCAGGACCAGACAGCATTGACCACTTCTGACCTACATGGAAGTATGTGTGAGAGACTTGGGGTCATCTCACTACAGCTGCTGGAGTGTTGATTTCTGTTTCTGTTCAGTGCTGTTTTTTTCTTTTACTTTATTTTTAAATTACTTTAGATAATACTGCTCAATGTTTATGAGCCTTCCTAGTCCTCTAATGTTCAGTTAATGCAGCCAACACTCAACAGGGACCTGTTAGAAAAAGAAACCAGAATGCTTACTGTGGTGAATGGGAAACTTCACCCAGTTGTTGATTGCTGGATTTGGCCCTGAATTACAAAGCCACAGTCTCTTCTCAGATGTTCTGACCCCAGGTTTTACCAAAATCAATGCCCATTGTCCTACTGACCCATGGCTTCTATTTCAGGTGAACCTTGTGCAAAGGAGCCACCACTGTTGGAGATGGTGGCCCCAGCATGCAGGCTGTCCCTGGAGGGTCCAGGTGCTGTAGGCAGAGCTGGTGGGCCTTGACCATTCTCCTCTGGCCCTCAGTGCACCCTCCATGAGGGACAGCTGTGAACCGTGTAAAATGTGACTGATCCTATTCCTTTCCCAGTGTTCTGAGCTATGAGCCCCTGTGGCCCAGGACTGGCCTGTTTCTGTTATTTTGGTTACAAGTCATCCTCCTGTGGAAATGGCAAAAGCTACATCTTTACTGTCCTCACCAGCACGGTGTGCATTGTCACATACTGTGAGTGTGGGCTGTGCTGTGTGTCTGTGTGTGTACATATGTGTATATGTATATATCACGCAGCAGGCCTGTCATGCTGCTGTCCAGTGGCAAAGCAACAAGTACAATAAAAGTTGGCTTGAAATCGGCCTGTGATTTCTTGGCGTGTTCAGCAGGGACAAAGCATGAAAGGAAACCCTGAGCCTATTATGTACATCGGTGCATATGCCTGAATGCACTCTTTCCCCCCAACAAGCATTTGGCTTCAGCTAGGTTGGGCACAAGAGTGACCATACCAGACACCAGACCAGGAATATCCATTCCTGGGGACTATGCCAAGCTCACCTGACCCCCAGGTATATGAGGTCTAGCAAGTGACCAGAAACTCCCCTCTTGAAAAGCTAAAAAGATACTAAGCATGTAAAGGATAACCTGGCTAGGGAAGGGTCAGGGTTAAGAACCCACAGGTGGTGAGATTGGTAGATGTGTTTTCCTAGAAAGTGAGACCATTTGACGCTGAGTACGGGGGGAGAAGTTGGCGCTGATGTGGATAGATGTGTTTTACAAACTAAATGCAAGTGCATGGAAACTACACTAGTTTTACCCACCTTTGGAGTCTACACCAGAGCAAGCTGCTGTCACCCTAGGCTGACTGACTCCTTTGTGCAACGCCAAGGGCTGTGGTGATTTTCTCATGGTGACCTGTCTCATATGTCTGAATGTTGACCTAAAATAAAGGTAGCTGTTGTAAAAATGTTTTCACTGCAGGCCAGAAGTGTCTTATTTAGGGATCAAGGCCAAATTCTGTTAATGAATTTAGCCCTGAAGTGACATCTGATGTTGGTCCCTGCTGGGTCTCCTGGAGACTGAGACCTCACTTCCTCCTGCCTGGTCCTCTTTTATTTATTTATTTGGTCTGTTTGAGACAAGGTCTCCCTGTAGCTCCAGCTGCCTGGAACTCACTCTGTAGACCATGCTGGCCTCGAACTCACAGAGGATCCCCCTGCCTCTGCCTCCCAAGTGCTGGGATTAAAGGTGTGCGCCACCACACCCAGCGACACCTCATTTCTAAATGCCAAGACCTGAATAATAAAAAGGACCTGTTAGTTAATGATGTCCGGAAGCTAAGGGCAGCCAGGACACAGGTTCTGGAGCTCTCAGGGACATTTCTGCCTTACAACCCTGGCTACCCACCCAGAGCAGGTAATAACATGCCCTACAGTCTCAATAGCCGCATTAAGCCAGTGGACAGTGGCTATTGGTCCTGCTGTTCCCCCATCTACCTATCACCAGCTACTACTTTTCAAAGCTTCCAGAAACTTCCCTGCTGTCATCTACACACCCTTGCTCACACTGCTCTGTAATGACTATTTTGAACAGATATCTGGAGCAGCACATGTGGAAGTTACATGAACTGGTTTTGACTGATGTGACTTTTCTCAGCTGTGAGCCTGAGATCTTGACTTCACAACAGGCCTCTGTCCTCAGCAGCTTAAGAGCCAGAGGGCATCTAGGTATTTCAGCTCAATATACAGGGGTATTCCCACCCACCCACCCACCCCCTTTTTTTTGAGACAGTGTCTCACTATGTAGCACTGGCTGGCCTAGAACCCTTAAAACTCATCAGACTAAGCTACACACACACAAAGATCTGCCTTCGTTCCCAGCAGAGCTGCCTACTTCTGGTCCTTGAGGCAGTGGCCACTACACTGTATTGCTGGGTGGCTCCCTTTCTGTACACCTTTGTCCTGACTACATTTCCCAGAGTTGTACCCTACCTAGGATTCCTGGATGTAGAGCTGCCACTGGAGCAGCTGCCAGATGTGGCCCCCAGTTGATTCTGACAGCTTTATGCCCCAACATCTCAGTAGGGTCCATCCTTCTGTGTGTCTTCCCATATGGCACCCCAGATGCCACAGTTCCTGTGGCATGTTTTGAGGTACTCTGCACACATACATGCAATACCTGGTGGCAAGGTGAGAATGGATGTGATTTGGAGCAATCAGCACAGGTTCTCTCATGGCCTTTGATTTGGTGTTTGTTCCCCCCATCTCAGGGGTGAGGGTTCAGTCCTGGGCTATTGCAGAATCCATGTCTGCTTGAGGGCATGTGTTCATGGGGTGTTTTGTTGGTCTTTTTGAGATAGGGGTTTCCTTGTAGCCCCAGGTAACCCAGAACATACTATATAGACCAGGCTGGCCTCCAGCTCACAAAGACCCATTTGCCTCTGCTCCTGAGTGCTGGGATTAAAGCCATGTGCCAGAATGCCCAGCTTGGAGTGCCATTTTGAAGACCTTACTGGAATGGAGTGCCTTGTAACAGCAGATACCAACAGGCTCAGCAAACCCTCCCGTTACAGTAAAAAAAACAACAACAAAAAAGCTGCCTTGACCATGAAGGCCCTCGGGTCTGACCAGCTCAGACTGGTGGGTGAATCTATGCCCTTGATCTTAACATAAGGCTAGACAGATTGATATTCATTCATATTTTCTCTCTCATTACTATATCCGTCTGCCCCCCCCACCCCCCGCCGCAATTTGTATTACCAGAGATTGAATTTAGGGCCTCACACATGCTAGGCAAGCACTCAACTACTGAACTACATTTCCAGCCCCAGAAAGCTCTTGAAATGCAATTTAGTTGAAACCAGTATGTTCATTCTTAAGGTCTTGCTGTGTAGCCCTGTGAAATTCATCTTCAATTTTGGGAAAGCTGAACTTGATGCATGCCTGCAATCCCTACACCAGGGAGGCAGAGGCAGGAGGATTGCCACAAGTTTGAGGTCAACCTTGTCTATATTCTGTGTTCCAGGCCAGCCCAAGGCTGATGGCAAGATTGTCTCAAAAAATATATTTGAGGAAAAAAGCCTAGAAATACTAATAACTAACACCTTGAAACTTCAGACCTAAGACTTAAGTAATTTGATTCAGATTTCCCAGAAGGGAAGAAAATGGTAAGTTGAGAACTAGTTTGTGCCCCTCCCCCATCCTGATCTGAGGCATTCCATGGGCATATCTTATCTGCCTCTTCTGCTCATGATGCTGTGCCTTGTCTGCTAGTGTCCACTCCATAAGTACTATGTTCACAATATTTTTCATAGCTGTGCTACACTACTAAACCACCTGCAGTCTGACTGAGTTTTTGTCAGTTATAAATCTGCCTGTGGGTGTTCCTAGGCCTGGCATTCATTTCATCTCTTAACCCAGGTCATGTCAAATGAATTAGTAACAGTTGATTCCTGCTCTTATAAATTGGTCTGGGGGGATGGAGCTGGAGAGATGGCTCAACAGTTGAGATCACTGTCTGCTCTTTCAGAGGATCTGGCTTCAGTTCCCAGCACCTACATGGTGGCTAACAACTCCAATTAAAAGGTAACAACAGTTCCAGGGGATCCAATGCCGCCTTCTGGCCTCCATGGGCATGGCTTGCACATGGTGCACCTACATACATGCAGGAAAAACACATAAAATAAAAATAAATGAAAAAAAAGATGGTCACCCAAGATTTTCAATACTTGCTGCTGATACAAAGCTGCCCCAGGGGTGAGAGATCAGTGACTGGGGTCTGGAGGTCTTCCTCTGACTGGCGGCTCCAAAATGCTCTGTCCAATGGTTGTCTGCATTCTGCTGTTCCTTTTTTGTTTTGTTTTGTTTCATTTTGTTTTATTTGAGACAGGATCTCACTATGTAACCCTGGCTGGCCTGGAACTCACAGAGATCTGCCTGCTTCTGCCTCTTGAATGCTATTAAAGGGGCCACCACACCCAGCCAGCTTCAATCCTGTCAGCCTTAGAGCTGCTGCCAGATGTTTTTTCCTAATTTGTTCTTTTGAGTTTTCTTAGGTTTACTCTACATTTATTATTTTTGGCATTTTAAGTATGGGATTCCTTTTCAAAAATGTATTTTATGTGTACAAGTGTATTGCCTGCACATATGTGAGTGCACCCATGTTCTGCAATGCCCAAGGTCAACCCATAGAGGTCAGAAGGTGGTGTTGGAGCCCCTGGAACTAGAGTTACTGATGGTTATTAGCCATCATGTGGGTACTGGGAACTGAACCTGGGTCCTCTGGAAGACCAGCCAGTACTCTTAACTGCTGAGTCATCTCTCCACCAACAGTGAGATTCTTAAATACATAACACCAAAGCATGAATGAGGAACATTCATTCCTCCTGGTGGGCAGGAGAATCATTGCACAGAACACAGCTCTCATCCCAAGACCACTATATTGCACAGGGTCTGAGGGGAGAGGTGGTCAGTTAGGGCAGCACAGGCCCAGGACAGTACCTGGCAGGTGGATTTGCCACTCGGGGGGAGGTGTGTCAGGTCCAGTGGCTTGGGATTGGTCATGGCATCCCTACCCACTTGCTGTGAAAACCATAGCAAGCCCCTCTTCAGGGGGATGATCTGAAGGTAGGGCCTGAGAGAATTCGGATGGCTAGGTCCACAGATTGCATGTGTGTGGCCTTTGGGTTTGGAGTAGTGTGCTTGGCTGGTAACTGAGCTGCCCTGCTGCTAATTGCTTGCATGCTCTGGGTCTGCAGGGCAAGTGCCTGAGCAGTTCCAACTGGCACAGGACAGCAGTGGCCTGTGCTGGTGAGCACAGGTCTCTTGTCACAAACTCCCTATCAGTCCTTGGAGTGGAGAACTCTTCAGATCAGCACAGTGGGGAACACATGTGTCTGTGTTTCTCGGGCTCTGGCTGTATTGAAGCTAGGGGACATGCAACTGGATCCATGGGAGCTGAAGTGCTTACTTGCCATCCAGGCCCAAACAGGTCTTGGGCTCCAGCTGAAAGCTGGTTGATCTGATGGTGGAAAGACGCCTGCTATGAGATGGTATGCATTGCTGCCCACCCCCACCCCAGATATCACTGCTAACATTGCCCTTGCTCCCAGACTGATCCTTCCCTGGGCCCAGTCCAGGATCATTCCCCATATGCCAGATGCCCTATTCCTCTCATTTCCCAAGCATACCCAAACCAAAATCCACCTCGCTGCTTCAGCCAGGGCATCTTCCCTTAAACTTGATCTCCAGCCCTGAACTTGAATTTAGGGAGCCTGAAAACAGCCCTCCCCTCCCAGCCTCCAGAATTTTTGTCTGCCTCCTACTTTTCACTTGGTGTGGGAAGCTGTGTGGTCCTGCAGATGTTCTACCCATAATGCCCTTGTTGCAGGACTCCTGGAGCACCCAGCCTACCACATGCCACATGGTCCAGGTCCAGCACCTACTGCTTCCTAACTCTGGGGAGTACAACATAGGCACTTCATACCCTGTACCAGGGTCCTCCACTAACTCACCAGACACTTGAACCACTGTCAATGTGATCATCATATGTATCTCCTTCTGGGACTGGAAGTCCCAAGGATCCCAGGCACCAGACTTCCCATCTATACCCATCATCACCCTGTGACTGCTGATCTGGGGAAAGGGATGGCACTTCACAGGCTGACAAACCTGAGATTGACCTTATAGATACCATTCTCAGATTGGACAGTCCTGGAGGCACCGCCCAAGGCAGCTGTGCTTTGGAGCAGGAACCCTTAACCTGTGTCAAAGGGATTTCTAGATGAGTGTAAGGGGGGATTTTAGGTCCATATCCAGCTTCCCCACCTACTGTCAGGCCCTGTGTCCATCTGGCTGCCTGGGTCCATGCTCACTGTTCTTGGCTGACCTATCTCCATGGTGCACATTACCCCTCAGCCTGCACTGGGTCAAGAGACCTAGGCATCTAGAGGACAGGACTTTTTAGTTCTAAACCCAACTAATACCCTGAGAGCTCCCTGGATAACCACCCAGGCTCAGCCTCAGTCTTGCCTAGTTCAGGACTGAAGTCCCAAGCACATGCAGTTATTATTCCGAGAGTTTGGAGCTAGAGAAGTTGCTTCTCTCCCTCCCTTCACTGTGCACCCCCCCCATAGCTGTTTAGAAAGTCACCCACTTCCAAAGACCATGGGATCCTAACTAGAATGGGGCTAAGAACTCTCCTGACTTTGTCAAGATAAGATAGGCCTCAGTCTATCCCCAAAATGGCCACCCACTCTGAGATTTCCCCAACAGTGCGTGGATACAGATACTCAAGCTGGGCTCTGAAGCTCAGGCCCCATGACCAGGTTCTTCTCTAGGCCCCACTGACCTTCACGAAGAAGGAGAAAACTAACTTTCCCTAAGAGCTGGTTGCCAGTTGAGGTGGGGCAAGAAACCCAGCCCTTCTAGCTCTGAGCTTCATTACCACACTTGATGTATGTTATCTCTGGTAATGTACTATGTGGCTGCACATGCCACATGTGGGTGGTGTTGGCATGCACAGGTATGTGTTTGGTTTGTTCTCAGGGAACTAATTAGCCTGGATTGAAGGACCTGGACCCTGCCCAGTTTCTCACAATCTTCCCCAATTCCTTATGTGGAAAGACCTCGCTGGAAGGAATGGTCCTTTCCCAGGTTCCCGCCATACAGTGTAGTAATGAATGAACCAATGAAGCCCGGAGACATGGAGAGGGTCTACTTACCAGAATATGGAGAAGGCCCTCCTGTGGACTTCTGCTTTGGTCCTCTTTCTTCATCGCCTGGCTTCCCCCTTGGACAAGCCACCCACCTTAATCTGCTAGCCGCTATGGGTTGGCCTCCGCCCAGCAACTTCCTGTCCCCACCCCATGACAAGTTTTTCCATGACAAGGCCTTTGTGAGGTGGAGTAACCAAGCAGACCAGAGAGGCAGGAAAGAGGCCCAAGCCAGGCTTGAGTGGGGATCCTGTCTTAGGGTCTTAGCTCACCTGCCACAACTCAAGAGACCAGAGCCCATATCTAGTAGGTATCTATATGCTCATGTCTGTTACCTCACTGAGAGAGAGTCAGCAAGGGAGAGGTGGGGGTGTCTTAGCCTCTAGAGTCCAGTAGCAGCAAAGGCAGGGCTGCATGAAATGGGTCCTGAACAGCCAATCCGTCTAAGGCCTTGACCATCTTGGAGCTGGTCGTCTTCCTCTGCTCAGTCCTTCCCACAGCTGCCCCCACACCAGCTTCTGTTGGGTCCCTTGATAGCACAAATGTCATTGGGGGAATTCTGCCTCCTATTACACTAGAGCCCTGGGTAGCCCTGTCCCTGGGTCCAGGTCTGGGGGTCACCAGGCTCTAGGGGCTCCATCTGCAGGCCCCACCTCTGTCCTATCATGGTTGGCTTTGGTTGTCAATTTGACACACCTAGGAAGAAGGAACCTCAAGTGGGGTGTGGAACCCCAAGTGGGGTGGGTTTAATCTGTGAGGCATTTTCTAGACTCCTGAATGATGTGGGAGGACCTAGTGCACTGTGGGTGGTGCCACCCCTGGACAAGTGGTCCTGGACTGTATAAAAAGCAGACTGAGCCAGGCATGGTGGCGCATGCCTTTAATCCCAGCACTCGGGAGGCAGAGGCAGGCGGATCTCTGTGAGTTTGAAGCCAGCCTAGTCTACATAGTGACTTCTAGGACAGCTGGGGCTACAGGGAGGGATGCCGTATCCCTGTCTCAGCCTATGGCCATGTCTGTGGGGAATTTTATGGATTTTTGAGTGATGTGTGAGGAACCAGCCAACTGGGTGGTACTACTCCTGGGCAGTTGGTCTTGTGTTGTATAAGAAAGCAGACTGAGCACAGGCCAGAGGAGCAAGCCAGTAAGCAGCATTCAACCATGGTCTGTGTTTCAGTTACTGCCTGCAGGTTCCTGTCCTGACTTCCCCAGTGATGAACTGTGATCGGGATATATAAGCATATAAATCTTTTCCTCCCAAGTTGGTTTTGTTTGGAGTATTTTATCATAGCAATAGAAAGCTAACTAGGACATGCCCTCATCTCCACAGGGTAATGAATGTGCTCCAACTCTACGGAAAATAGAATGCAAGGCTTAGAATTCCTAATTGCGCTAGGCACTCTCATCCTCCTACAGCTTGGGGAAAAGACTGCCTTAGCCTAGACCAAGAATATACTCACACCTTGCCTGAAATCAGTCATGTCTTCATTCTCTAAAGCTTTATTCTTTTATAAAATGTATTAACTGAGTATTATTTTTGGTAACATTTTTAAATTAAAATAAGTTAATATGTTGAATCTGCAATCCCAGGCCAGGATACAGGAGGTTGGGTAGAAATGGGAGTGGCTCAGACTGGGAACTACCCCACAGATGACAGTTCCTCCTCATCACTGCCTTCAGGGACTGCATCTGTTCCAAAGTAGCGATCACCAAAGTTCCCTGCAAAAAGAAATGACCCAATGTGGCTGGGGTCACTTAACCCTATCCCCATGGACCACTGAAGGGGCCCGGACAGCCTCACCAATGCCTGGGATGATACGGAAAAGGTCATTGACACGCTTGTCCACAGCCGTGGTGATGATTCTCACTCTTGGGAAGGCATAGGCGACAGAGTGCACACCCATCTCTGCCATGAGCAAGGACAGCAAGAAAATCTTGTCCTCAGGCACATCGTGGTCCTGTGCAGCATAGAGGCAGGATAAGTTCCAACTCCAAGGAAAACTGCCTACAACCCACCCTGACCCACTTACCAAGAGCACACGTACGGCCATCATGGCTGCAGCACCAGTGGACACTGTGCAGTCCATTAGGATCACGTGGTCATCACTGATGTCCTTGGGCAGTCTCAGGTAGTGTAGCTACATGTGGCAGTGAGGTCAGAGCAGGGCCCACTCACCAGGCTTCTGGCCCTGCCTCAGCCTCTCTCCCTGGGCTGGTCATCCCTGACCCCCAGCCCTCACTGGATGGGTACCTCAGGCTCTCCTGTGAGCTGGTTTGTCTGGATGAGAATGGTACCGATGCGCACATCTTTGCACACGGCTCGCAGTGCAGGCTCCATGGTTTCCCCAGCTCGTAGAATGGACACACCAGTGATCTAGCAGGGAAAAGAGGCTGAGCAAGCTGCAAGGTGGATACCCCACACTCGTACCCCCACACAGCTGCTACTGCTGTCCCACCCCGAGCCATGTGCACCTGCTTTCCAGTGTAGCACTTGCCCGTGTAGTCCTGCCCCTGTGGAGTCTGCACAGTGCAGTCCTGTAGAGTAAGTAGGGGCACCTGTGAGCAGCCAAAGCTGAACTCCCCCTTATTCTCATAAGCCCACACCTGGAGAGGCAGAGCCCTCTCTACCCTTTACCCCATGTGCCCATACCTGAAAGGGTAGGAAGGACAGTGCATGCTCAATAAGCAGCCGCATCAACCTCTTAGAGTAGAAGATGAATTCATCCCGGCTGGTCTCCTTGTCTCTTGAGGGTGGAGTAAGAGGGCTTAGTGAGGGGTGGGCCAGCAGCTGAGGGCGGAATGGGGTGGGGTGGGATGGAACTGGCACAACTTAGGTAAACCCTCACCTGATGATGGTGTGCATGCCTCGTACCTGTGGTGTGCTCTTGAGGACGCTCAGTGTTTGGGGAAGGGGGTGGCACTGGTGAGCCGAGGCCAGTGCAGCCCTAGGAACACAAACCAATTTGGGGTATCTTACTCAAAAGCCTATTTCTCCCAAACAGAACATTACTATGGGGGATAGGGAGTTGTGTGTGTGTGGAACTGTCTGCCTGGCTGTGGCTGACCTAAGGAGAGAGGCATTCTATGAGAGATGCCTTATCACCTTAACTTCAGGCAAAAGTGAGAGACTGTTCAATGTTGAACATAGACTCAGTGGGGAGGATACTGGGGAGCTGAGGCATGAGGTGCCCCCTCCCAGGCTCAGAGAAAGCAGAGCAGCTAGATGGGGAGAAAGGGGGATCACTGTGGGAACAGGTCTCAGCCTCCAAATGGGCAACTTGTCCCCAACTTCTCCGAGGGGGACAATCGGGGTTGTGGGGTCAAGTTCCACACAGGCCTGTCCCCCAGGTAGTGCGAAGCCTCTCTCAAAGAAGGAGAGCAAAGCAGGAAGGGCTTAATGCCAAAGGCTGCCCCACCCAATGCCCCAGGCTGGAGAGGACAGGGAAAGGGCTTATGATAGGCAGAAATAGGGAAGGTCAGTGAGATGGGGAAGGGAGGAAGGGAGGAAGAGTGCGGGTGGGAGGGAGGGGGGCACTGGGGCACAGGGCAGCAAGAGCGGTGCAGGGTGCGGGGCAGCACACAGCGCAGCACAACCAGAGTGCGCTCTGCTCACATATCCCAACGCAGCTTCCTCTGCTCGCCAGGTGAAGAGCGTGTTCAGGGAGGGAACAAGGCAGGAAACGGGTTTACAAAGAGGAAAAGAACAGAGAGAAGAACACTTAGTGGGGAGAGCAGACAAGTCCCTGCAGAAGGAACCCTGTAACTACCAGCTAGCTGGAGAGGTGAGTCAGAGACTGGCAGCAGTCTTGCCACCTATGGCCTTGGTGTCCTAGAGTGGAGCGCCTCCCACACCCAGACTGCAGTTCTCCCCTCCTGCTCACCAGCAACTTCCTGGGGTTGAAGGAGGCAGTGTGGGGCCACTAGCCACCACTTCCTTGGCTGACCAGAGAATGCAAAGTGGAGCTAGCTGTACCTAGAAACTTTTCTCAGAACAGAGGTTTCAAGGGGGCCCTGACATAGGTCTGTGACACCCTGGTTTTGGTGAGGCCAAGTGGAGACTCATGCAAGGACAGGAAGCGGGCTGTGAAGATGGCCCTGGAGGCATTTCCAACACTCCTCAGAACTCCTGGGGCATCGAGTGGGATCATGAAGATTCCCACAGTGGCCCCAGCTGGTTCTTCCCAACTCTGAGGAAAGCCTGGGAGAAGAGCCCTGATTTCTGGCTGGGCTTTGGTCAGCAGGATGATGTGGTGCAGCTCAGTCCATCCTGGGCTCCTACTGCAGTACCAGCATTCCTTCTCCTGCCTGAATTGTGCTGCAGCTTGAGGACTAAGCTAGGACAGAGCAGGGCCTGGATAGACAGGGTGAAAAGGGCAGAACCAAGCCCTACTACCACCCCAGGGAGAGTCAACTTGATGCATGGGTTCAGCCAAGGAGATACAGCAGCCTAGATTCAGACTCAGGCCTGCCTGTGGCTGCTGGGGACACATTAGTTTAGTGATCCCTGTCTTAGAGTATACACGACAGTGCTGGTCTGAGGACAGCTTGTGCTCTCTGGATCCCAAGACAGCCCCATATAGGGAAGAAGCCTCCATAAACATCTGGCCTGCCCAGGCATTACGGGACCCTGGGAAAATTCCTTAACCTTGTCTATACCTCAGTGTGCTTATCTGCCAGCAAGGGGGTGCAGCAGCACGGCTGTGCCACTCTACCCGTCTTGGGACAGGCTGCCTGCCTGTTTGGCTAGGTGACAGCCAACCTGGAGCTCCATGTAGATGTTGGAAATGCCTCCATCTGTGCAGACAGTTGTAGAGTCTTACCTGACGCTGAGTTCACGCTGTGGCAGCAACACAGGGAGACACAAGGGAACGGGTGACGTATCAGTGACCAGGGCAGGCAGCCAGGCCCTCCCCCCACCAAGAATGGATACTTCATAGCCCCATGAAATGGCTCAGGTAGTTGCCAACTGGGAGAGGAGGCAAGCTTTTAAGGACCTCTAACTTGGGGACCAGCTGAGCTAGGACCTGTGGCCTTAGACTGGAGCAGTACAGACTGAGAAGGACTGCAACTAGATCCCATTCCCCAGCTACACACCACCTAATGTGGGACCTCCGGTGGGAAAGCACTGCTTGCAGAGTGACCCATTCAGAAACAGAGAAGTCACTGGTCGGATGTAGGACTTAGTGCTGAAATCCAGTCACAGACCAGTGGGACAGTGGGTCACCCTTGTCACTCCCATAGGGTTGGAAGGGACAGGAGTATACCCTTCCGTGCAAGGCCAACTCTTGGATGATGCAAGTGGCGGCTGGGCTCTCAGCCCCTGGCCCACCACCCAGAGTTGGGGGCTGGGCCAGGTGAATAGGTGGAGGGATCAGGCCCAGGACACGTGAGGGCCAGTACCAACAGGAGACAATGAATGTGTGGGAGTGAGGTAAGCAGGCTGCTGTGGGAGGGAGGGACAACGGAGGGGCAGGGACTTTGGGTGCTGGCTGGCTAACCTCCTCCAGCTGGCTGTGAACATGCTGCACAATCAGGTCAATGGCCACTGTATTCCCGCTCCCTGGAAAGGGAAATGGAGAGAATGATTCAGAAGCATGGTGGCCCTTCTGCTCCACTGGAGGCAAGGGCCTGGCAGGCTCACCTCTGGGCACCACAATGTCTGCCAGGCGCATGGTGGGCTGGATATACTGGTCAAAGGCAGGTTTGACAAACTTGTTGTACTGCTTAATGACACCTTCAATGTCCCGGCCTCGTTCACTGATATCCCGGCGCAGCCGCCGTACCAGTCGGATATCAGAGTCGGTGTCTACAAAGATCTTCATATCCAGGAGCTGGATGTAGATGGCAAGGCTGTGAGTAGAGCTAAGGCATGCACCAGCTAGGCCATTGTCCAGGGGCTGCAACATGACCAGCCCAAAGGACATCCCTTGGGCCTAACCAGATGTTGGTGATGGGTACATTCATTGTACACTGGGATGCATGCTGGCTAGCGGCACAGGATGGAGGCAACTGACAAATCAGGTAGGAATAGGGCTTGGCAATGTGATGTCTATGACTTCACTCATTATAGCTCCCATGAACACTGGTAGATAGGGGCTTTGTGAGCTCTGGGTGTGGCCTCCAGTCAGCATGTGACAAGTGGTCCCTGAAGGAGTCACGTGGGAATCAGGGACTGCTATATGCAGACAGAGGAGTCCTCTAGGCCTGGGCCTGGGTAACATTCAGATATATCCTGGAGGCCTTGCAGCAAAGTCTCTCAAACTCACTGGCTTCAGGTCCTTGTCTCTTCCTCAGCAAGAAAGAATGACAAAAGCACAGAACACATAAACAGAACTCTCAGTAAGTGGGAGAGGGAACCACTGACCCCAGCTGCCATACCCTAGGACACTAGTCAGCTAGCTAGTGGGACAGAACAGCTGTGAATGCTTGGGATATTCCTATGGGGTATACCTGTAAGCTCCCACTAGGGAGAAATCTACTCAGACAGCAAGAGCAAGAGCATGGAGGCCATGGGGATGGAGTAGTGGAGACTTGCTACAGGAATTGTGTTTAAGGGAATGCCTGTGGGGTGGATGGGAGCTTCCAGCAAGGCCTCACCTCCAGCAGTGTCTTGTCAGCAAAGGCCATGATACCCTCAAAGATGATGACATTTGCACCATACAGTGTTTTCTGCAAAGGAACCCAGAGAGTTTCAGTGCTAAGCTCACGCCCTTGCAGTGTCCTCCACAGCCCTCAAACCCTGGGCCTACCCAGTCCTTTTTCCGGCTATGAGTGGTGAAGTCATAGATGGGTACTTGGACACTCCTGCCCTGTTTTAGTTTCTTGAGGGTAGAAATGATGAGATCGAAGTCAAAGGCATCAGGATGGTCAAAGTTATAGTTATTGTGGGCAGCCTGCTCCTGCTGCTGCTGTGTCAGAACCTAGGGGGCCATGATGAAGTCCAGTGATCACAGGACCTATTTTTGCAAGGGCAAAGGGGTCACAGGGAGAAGGTACTCTGGGGGAGTTGGGCAGGACCTCACCTTATAGAAGGAGTCCATGGACAGCAGGACCACCCAGGGCACATCAAGTGCCTCAATGATCATTCTGGCCACAGTGGTCTTCCCAGATGCACTGCCACCACCCAGGCCTGTGGGGTGGAGGTACCCTGCAATTAGGAGCAGCTGGGCTGGCCGTGCAGAACGATCCCTGAGGTGCCTTCCCACACTGCTCTCACCAATGGCAAAGGCCTCCTTGGACTGTGTGCCATGTTCATTGTACCAGGGTGGCCGCCCAGCTGTGTAGATGGTGCGCTTGCTTGTGCGAAGCAGGGGTGGCTCAGACTTACACTGGCTGGTGGTACGCTTCCTGGGTGAGCGCCCAGTACCCACTGGTGGGAGGAGTCTGTCCAAGGACCCTGCATTGCTACTACAAAAAGGAATGTGTTCAGCCTCAGCCCACAGATGCTAATCTCCCTGGCATACCTGAGCAGGACAAGCACAGGTATGGCTCATGTAGGGGTAGGGGGAGGGCAAGAAACCCATCTTAGGGCTCATGGAGGGCATAAGAACAAAGGACAGTAAGTAGTGGCAAGAGCATTCAGAGGAGGATATGCACCATCTCAGGGCCAAAGTCCTACTTTTGTGTGAGTTGGTGTGGGTAGGGCCTCATTCCCAGAGAATGGACTCTCAAGAATAAAGAAGATCCCACTGAAGACTGTGTCCCTCTTCACTATAGCACATTCTCTGGGTAGCTCTGGCACTGACACCCAGCAGGACCTGTGTCCCAGGAGCAGGAACTGAAGTATACTGGCCACATGGCAGTGGCAGGATCTGTGTAGGTCAGGGCCCTGACCTGGCACTCTATCAAGTATGTAGGATAAGCCAGTCGTGGTGGCACACGCCTTTAATACCAGTACTCAGGAGGCAGAGGCAGGCGGATCTCTGTGAGTTCAAGGTCAGCCTGGTCTACATAGTGAGTTCCAGGACACCTAGGGTTCCAGGGAGACCCTGTCTCAAAAAGACCAAAAAAAAAAAAAAGAGTGTAGGATAGACAGCAGGAAGGGAGGTTGGGAGGCCTATGGGGAACCTACTTCTCAGCAAGATGCAAGACTCCCTCTGTGTCCTCAAGGTAGACGCCTCTAGCAGCCTGTATGTAACCCCTACCTGTCTTAGCTGATATACACACATACATACATATGTGTGGTTGGTGGTTTGAGACTGTGAACCAAGGTAGAAAAAGAGAGGCAGACAGAGGAATGACAGCACAGATCTGTGCTTGTATACATCTATAGCCCATGGTTCATGTTAGCTGGGCACTCAGACCCCTACTGACAACGCAGTGGTCTAAATCCCTAAAAGGGCACCATTTCTGGCCATGGCCTCCAAGTCGGAGAGGGGATAACTTCTGCAGAGATTCAGTGTGGCTATATCACCTACCTGACACCTGCTATCTGTCCTGAGACACAGCCTGATGCAAAGGTCCTATGAGAAGGAAATGCAAGCTAAGGAGAGGCATTTTTGGCCACTGCCTGAAAGGAACCTTGGGCTGGTCACATGGTCCCAGCATCAGCTTTCAAGCTAATCAAGAAACTCTCAGCTCAGTGGCTTTGTCTGGCATGTTGCAGTCCACCTGTGGGGGGTGAGTGAGAACTGTGGCCACTGACTGCGCAAAGTGCCCGGTGAGCAGGAGGGGCTGTCAATAGAATCATCAGGTTGACATGCCGTACAGGCTCCTTGTGGGATTCTTCTTGCAGTGGCACTGCTTGTTATAGTCTGAAGTACTTCAAGGGACAGAACACTGCACAGAATACCAGGTAAATCTGAGATGAACAGGTAGATGGCAGGCTTAGATGGGGACAGGCATCTCTAGGGCACTCTTGGGTGAGAAAAGCAAGCTGTAATGAAATAGGATTTAGTTATATAAAAGCCATCAGATGAAGAATGCTTGCCTAGGGACTTGGGACATAGTTAAGTAGAGAGGCCCTTGGCTTGATCCTCAGCACAGTCCAAAAGATGTTCACCCAAATGCACACAAATGCAGTGCCTGTGAGCAAGGTATGCACTCCGAAAAGCTGGAAGCAAATATATCAGTTATAATCAGGATCGTCCCAGAGACCAAATCTGAGACAGGGACTTCTGCCACAACTAGATGTTTTACAAGCACAAGCCTTCTTATCAAAACCAAAGGTGGATTTGTCTGGGAAGCTCACTGTTCTGCTATCAGTGCTGCCGCCTCAAGGTCCTCAGTAAGGTGCTTCCGGAGGCCGCCTTACCAGGATAGGGCCTGAGATAAGCCTCTTCCTACCTCTGGGATGGCCCAGTTTAGGAACTGATGTCCTCATCTGTGTGGTCCTCCAAGAGCCAGGAAGACTGTGGCTGCTGTGCACATGTGTGGGGGTGGGGCAGTGGAAAGACCAAGTGGAAGCCTAACATGTGACTGGCCCATACTAGCAGCTCTAAAAGGCACAGGACAACATAGACATAAGTGAACATCAAGAAAAGAACCCATCTGTATCCAACAGGAAAACATGCTGCATTCGTCCTTAGGGACAAAGACAATAGACCTGCCTGTTTGTACACTATCCATCCTTACCAGAGCTCAGGGAGTGAGCCCAGGGAATAATTAGTCTGTTGTGTTCGGCCTCAACTCCACTGCTCTGGAGACAGTACAAGAGCTAAGCAGTGGGCTGGGTACAAATAACACAGTTGAGTTATGAGATCTGAGACTTCCAGGCAGGGGTCTTGGGGATACATGCACCAAGAAGTGATAAACCTCCTGAAGGTGTGTCAGTTGCACTCTAGCTCAGGCCTGCCTGAATAGCTCAATCAAAAAAGGAGACATAAGCAATGAAGTTCCCAGATCCCTGGACAGAGGGCAGCTGTCTGCTCATATGGGCACACTAATTCATCCACAGTAAACAAATAGGTCTGTGGGGCTCACCCACTAGGCTGCCCCTCCCAGTGGGTAAGAGCTGGAGACCCACAGCTGGGGGGAAGGGCAGAGCCCCCTGAGGTTTCCAGCCTAGGTCTTTTCATGTCTAGAAGCAGCATGACCACAATACACAGGGCAGCTCTGGGAAGCCAGTAAATAGAGAACAAATTCAGGTCATCTGCCTCCCTGGGCCTCCTGCACCCTTCCCAGAGAGTTGCCCTCTGCCTTCAGCTTTGCAGAGGAAACTCCAATGAGGACATCTGACTTGCAAGGGGGTAGAACATCCTGATGAAACTCCCAGAGCTGGCAGAGCTATACCTTGGCTTCCAGTGGTGAGCACAAGTACACTCAAAGCCAGGATGCACTCAGACAGAAACTAGACAAGACCACAGGCTGAGGCTGTACCTGCTCCCCCAGGTTTTCAGAGTACCAATACCAGCTTCCCTGGGAGACTTTGGGTCCCCCATCAGTGACTCTTCACTTTGGTGAAGATCCCTTCCACAGCTCGTGCTGCTGAGCCCAGGACAGATCCTTCTGATGGAAAGAGTGCTCAATGACAAGAGACTTTGCCAGAAATCTGCCTCACCTTGATTGGAAGGCTAGGCTGTGTCTGCACCAAACCAAGCTCCTCTACTCGCCCCAAAGCTAATAACTGTCTCCTGGAACCAGAGACAAAGCTTTATCCCACTTCTTACAAAAGGTGCCTCTTGATGGGAAAGTTGAATACAAGACCTAATTTTTTCTCCACAGACAAAGGACACATTGACAAAAACTCATCTCACCAAATAGGATTAACAGCCTCAGCAGACACAAGACACTATCAGCACAGCCCCAAGCACAGCCACGCCTGCAGCCCAAGCTCTATGCAGCTCCCAGGAGCACCTGCCAGTCTGTTTGTTTCCAGATATCCATGGACACACATCACACGCAAGCCAGGAGTGGTCAGCACCACTGGGAAGTGAGGCTTTCCTCACCAGCAGCAACTCTGCGGCAACTCACCTGCCTTCTGCTCCAAGGGCCCAGCACCCTGAGATCCTGATGCCAGGGTAAGCTGGGGTGCTGCTCATGGCCAAGGATGCAGGTTGGCACAGAAGGCTCAGAGGTGGGTGCTCCTGGGTGGTGGGATGACCCAAGTGTGTGTAGTCTAGGTGCTAGCAGTTAGGGTATCACTACCTTTTAGACCTACAGTTGTCCTCAAGGATAGCTTTGGAGTTCTGGACACCTGAACTGGTCCTCCATAGGTGGAACCACTACTATGGGCACCAGAGCAGAAAACCTGGGTGGGGTTGGACCCCTAGCTGGCAGAGGCAGCTTGCTATGTACAGCGGGTAGGGCACAGCAACTGGGAGGCCCCAGGAGCCCTTCTGTACTAAGAGAACGTACTCACTGCTTAGTCTCTGAGGCCAAGGCCAGAGGCATAAGAGGATCACCCAACTGGGGCTCATGTACCAGATATTAATAGTAATGACTCTGGCCTGTGCAATCCCCAAGCCAGTTGTTGGTGTGACGTGCCCTCCTGTGCAGGCTGTTGTGCTTACTGGCCTGAAGCTTGCTGGGGACCACTGTGCTGTAGTACCTCTCTCCAAATTCTCTGGAAGAAATTAAGTTATGATTCCCAGTACATATATCAAGACAAGGAAATCTGAGGCCCCTCCAGGCTAGGTGATCTGAATGTCACTGCTGAGCTGTGTTCCTCACCCCTGGCCCCAAGGTGCCTCCTACATGGATAAACAAATCTGAAACTCTACCCTGGCAGCATCCAAGAATAACTGCCCCACCCCCACCTCACAGAGGCTCCAGAAGGTCCTGTGACCACCCAGGCCTATGTAGTCAGCAGGGGACACAGCCACCTCCCTGCCCATAGCATGGGGAGAAAGGAATGATTTGGTCCCAGTCTCATCTGAAATTCCATCTAATCAAGGAGGTTCTACCAGCCCTGGGATTCTCCTCCAGGGGTGGGTGGACCATGTTGCAGTTTGGCTGCTACCTAGCCTCCAGCACCAAGGCGGGGGCTGGCAGAAGCTCAGGGAAGAAGCTCTCAAGTGAGCTTCACATACCTAAAAAGGGGTTGCTCCTGGGAGCTGCCTTGGAGGAAGCTCTTCTGGCCACCTAGGTAACCAAGAGCATGTCTGCCTCCACTCCAGAGATACCTGGAGCAGGTCTAGCCTAATTATGTGTGTATATGTATGCGTGTGTGCATGTGTGCATGTGTGTGTGTGGGGGGGGGACTTTGGCATGTTCCTTGAGTACCCATGTTGATCAGGACCAGTGAATAGGAAATAAAGCCATAGGTCCCTGGGAAGCTAACACTGTGTTGGTCCCAGAAAAGGGAGGCCTAAGTCTGCTACTGCTGACAGAATAGACTCTTCTGGCCTATTAACTTACTAGACCCCACCCCAGAGCATCAGGCACTACCCCCATAATTTCCAGTCTTCACCCGGGGTACACCAGTCACCTGGCTAAGCACACCCTTTTATTCCCATTCCCAAGGTTTTTTCTTTTCAGGTCTCTGGTTTCAGACCTCAAGGCTGTCTAAGGTAGCTGATCCTGAAGGCTGCTCAATCCTCAAGGTCCCTCCCTCATTTCCCACTGACCATCCACTAAGTGACCGGACTGTCAACTGTGGCTTACACCCCTCCACCACTGACCAAGGAGTTGCTGCAGACTCATGTCCTGTTGAAAGTGCACTACTGGGTTCCCAAGGTCCCAGGCAGGTGCCTCACTGGTGAGGAACCCACATGTGATGACATAAAGCAGGCAAAGTTGCCCTGTACTGAGCATCCCCCATGTCAGAGAAGCCAGAATCAATGCCCACAAGCAGGCACTGCATAGAAGGCTCACCTCCTGTAGCACAAGACAACCAAGAAAGGTCTTAAGGTTCCCTTGCTTTGACTAGGTCTATATTCAAGTCACTTCTCAGAGGCTGGTATAGATGCCCTGCAAGAGGCAGGAGCTGGTTGAGACTGAGTCACGGAGGCCACTTTTACAAAGTAGACACAAGACTGGAGGGTTAGAGGCATGCACGGGCCGCTTGCTACCCTGGAACCCCCTCCCTAGCAGCTCCCCACCCCACCCCACGGCTCTGGATGGACATCATTAGCCTCTCTCTACTCTTTACAGTCCCAGCCCAATCTAAGACTTGTAATGTTACTTTGAAGGTCTCTGGCTGTGCCAGCGCAGGTTAACAGACTTCAAAGAAAGAGCCATTAGGGCAGGCAGATATGGAGGCAAGTGTAGGGAAACAGCAGCAGACTGGATATGGAGAGCAGGAGGTCTCCCAGTGACTCCCTTCTCCCTGCTTCAGGTCATCTCTCCTCTGACCGGCAAGGGAAAGCAGCGTCTTCCTGAAGTCCAGTGAGGGCGACTGCCCAGGCAGTCTGTGTCCTCAGTGTTTCCTCAGAGGTACCTGGCCATGGTCTCTGCTTCTGGTTAAATCAAAACCGTCTGGACTAGAGAGTACCATACACTCAGTCTTGTAAGACTCCAGGACCTTTTCAGGTTCCCAGTCGGAGTGCTGGGATTGTGTTGACCAGTAGGGACTCGCCTAGACCTTCAGCACCCGCGAAACAGCACAGTTCGGGGGGGGGGGGGGGGGGGGGGCCCCCCCCCTTCAGCCTTCGCGCCCCGCCCCGGGAGAGGCCCCCCCGGGGGCCCCCAGCCCCCCCCCCCCCCCCCGCAGAAAAGGGGGGGGGGGGGGGGGCCCCCCCCCTTCAGCCTTCGCGCCCCGCCCCGGGAGAGGCCCCCCCGGGGGCCCCCAGCCCCCCCCCCCCCCCCCGCAGAAAAGGGGGGGGGGGGGGGGGAGGAGCGCCCAGCCTTCAGCCTTCGCGCTCAGACCCGGAAGCGGCGCCCCAGGGAGCTCCCAGCACCGCCCCCGCCCCCTGACGGCCCTGGCCGGGAATCACCACCCGTGGTGACCAAGCTGGGCCCAGACAAGTTCCTCGGTGCTCACCGACCCCTCTCCATTCTCCTGAAGGCCTCGAGGGCCCCCAACGTGGGGGTAGTGATCACCACCCCATCCTACGTTCACGATTACCACTGGCCAGTGTGTGGGCAAGGTCAGGCGAGAGGCCTCGAGCTCAAACTCAGAAGGTCGAGCTGCATACGGCCCACTAGGGAGCCCAGGCAAGAGCCCACTCACTCGAGATGGACATCAAGGCCAGGCAGGTCAAACCGGGCTCCACTCCCCTTGCCTCCAGGAGCCAAGGGCTAGGGCCAGGTCCGCCCTCCAGCCACTGGGGCCCTCCATGCCGTCGCCCTCTCCCTGATCACTGGGGTGCCTCTTCCTCACTGGAGGAAGAGGGCCCAGGTGTCGGAGGGCAGCCCGCGAGCTGGCTGGGGTCCACGCGGTTGTGGAGGCCGGGCCGCCCATCCACCGATGGGTCGCGGAGGGGCATCGGGAAGGGATGCCAGCTGCGCGCCTCCGCGCCAACCCCTCCCGCGGACACCCTGAGACGTGCGCGGCCCCGGCCTTGTTCAGGCCCGCGCCTACCGGTCCTCACACGCGGTCTCGCTTTGCTCAGCTGGCCGTCTCGTCCCGTCCGAGGGCCCAGTGGACGGTAGGGGCGAGGGGGCGGCGTCCGCGGAGGCCGGAGGCGCAGCCATGGCGTCCCGAAATCGGGCGGCGGCCGGGGAAGTGCGCACCAACCTAGGGGCGCTGCGGACTACGAGCCCCACAAGGCTGCACGGCACTGGGCGCGCGCCCGCTGCGAGAATGGCCGGCGCCTTAGCACAAACTCAGCCGCACAAAAGCCCTGGAAAAAAAATCAATAAACATTTATTTGATACAGTCATTTTTAATACATACAATTGATGGCCCACCCCGCGCCATTCGGGGCTAGGCGGGGATGAGGATGGGGACATATGTGACCACAAGGCGGGCAGGACCCAAGCTCACCTTAAAACATCTTGCAAATAAAACACTTTTTGGATAGAATATGTGTATATCTATGGTTACAAGTGATAGCCGGAAATGCACTTGTGTAATGAGAACTGCGTTAAGACCAAACCGTACAACCCAAAGTTTAGGAGGTGGTGAAGTCAGGAAGAACAGGTGAGGGGAAACCAGGTCTCTGGGACAAGGAGCAGAGCCTGGGTCCCATCCAGCAGTGGCACAGAGGAACAGCCCTCCCTTTCCGGTTCTCACTTCAGAGACCAACAGAGGGACAGGAAGGCCCGAGGGCCCCCAGGAGGCACCCATATCTGCCGGTGCCAGAGCATAAAGTGCACCCTGGTTCTTCAATGAAGTGTCCATCCTTGGCACTTCCCCATATTCAGGGCAGGGCAAGCATTGAGCCAGAGGTAGATCTGCAGAGACCCTGACTTTTGCATTTTGCTAAAGACCCAGGGCTTGGGTCTTCCGGGTCCATACCCACCACCTCCTGGAGCTCTGCCATGTTGGACCCTCTGAAGATCTGTGCAGGATGGTGGTCACCTTTGGGGAGGTGGGCAGACTCTTCTGAGCCCTGCCATTTGGAAGAGGGCTCTGCAGCCTAGCTTGCCCCTTTATGAGCCATTGTAACAGGGAGGGGGTCCCACCCAAGTGCCACTTCTGACAACTGCCCCCATACCCACCTCAAAGACAAAGGAGTTAAAGTGCTAAACATCAAATTACCCGAACCCCCGAGTCCCACATCAGGGCCTACATGTGGGCTTTGAGGTGTGTCCTAGAAACTTACCCCCAGCAAACCCAGGCGCTACTTCACCCCACAAGTGCCAAGTACCTGAGAGGCTGGGGTGGTGGTCACACCCTGTTGTGCAAAGTGCACTTAGACCCCCTTTCCCTCCCCAGCCCCATACCATTGCCCTAAAGCTCCAGCCTACCCTTTGATCTTTACACTGGATCATACCCACCTCTGGAGCTACCCTCTGAACAGGTCAAAGTATGTAGGAGTTTAGGAGTCCACTCAACACCCCCAGCACACCAGCAGAGTTAGAGCCCTCCTACATAGGAGTGTAACAAATCTCCCCGGAGCTGGTCTCCCTTGCAACTCCTCCTCTCTGGGGGGAGAAGGGGTGCCAGTCAGCACTATAGCCCAGCTCCACCTTCTGCACCAGGAAACCCTTAGCACCAAATGTCAGATTGTTGAGTTTTGTATAAAAAACAGAATTTTAAAAAAGGTTGTTACTTGTCACAGCAACAAGACTGGCATCGACAATACCCAGGAGACGCTCACACAGGCAATATCAAAATTCACATCGTCCAGGATCAGAGGCTGAAGCCTCCATCCACCTCAACCCCCATTGGAAAAAACCTGGTCCAACTCTCTCCAGCCTTCTCCTCCTGGTGTGGCTCTCAAGGGTTGGAAGTAGGGCCAGGAAGGAGGCCACCAGATGTGGCCACCTCCTCCAAGCATGCAGGGTTCCCTTCCTGACGCTGCCCAACCTTCAGACCCTCCTATCCTCAGGGGTGCAGAGGGGATAGGCCCAGCCTGGAGCTGCTACACTGGCTGAGGCCCCACCCCACACAAGCCTTCAGTTCCTGTAGCAAATGACTCTGCTGCCATTAGATACACAGGACAGGTAAATTAGAGGAAGGAGGGCTTCCACAGAGCTCAGCTTCTGGGCCAGCCTGGCATAGCAGACATAAACTGTCTCCCATAGGCACTAATTCTGAACTGGGCTCCTTCTGATCTGATCGGCCCCTGCCTCCACATGGCCATGGCCTCAGCGAGATCTCCTCCACCTTCAGGATGCCAACCACAGGATCAGAAGCCAAAGGAGGAGCATACTAGCCCCTCGCCTCCCAGGCTGGCAGCTATGGATGTGGGCATCCCTGCAGGTACAGCCAGCAGAGTTCCTTGCCAGGAAGGATGCATTCTCCACCATGACCACAGTAGCCAGTGGGGTGAGACCTGAAGCACAGCAGGGATGACAGAGGAAGGAGCAGGCCCAGAGAGGTAGAAAACAGAAGCAGAAGGACCAGAGGTGGGTGAAGGAGGGCATATGGGTAGGCAGCTATTAGGGCAGGATGGCAGTAGCTGGACGGGGTCTGTCCTGGGAGGTAGCTGGGAGTACTGGAGTTCCAGTGTTGAGTGGAAGTGAGGCCCAGGTGGTAGCAGCCAGGTTATTCAGGTGCCTTATTAGCCCAGCAATATGGGTCACTAGGAATGCCAAAGCCTTGAGGAAGCCAGGATTGGGACCCTGCTGAGCCAGAGGGAGGTGGAAACAGGGGCCATTTGACTGCTCAAGCACTGTATCCCCTGATGGTGCCAAAGCCCCAGATCCTGCCAGGCCTATGAATGTCCTTATGGGGAAGGCTGGGTCCCCCAGTCTATTGCACTTTTGCTGCTGCCCCTGGCACTTCTGGGGAGCCCAGCCTAGCCATGTTGAGACAGCCTAAACAGGGGAAGGGCCACTTTCAGGGAGGGTAGAGTGGCTTGCCACCCCCTCTGGACAGATGGATGGGGGTGGGGGATGGAGGACACTCTGGAACTGGCTCCCTTAACTTAGACAATGTGGGCATGGTGGCTGGTATGGGGGCTGGGCCCTGACCACCAGGCTCACTTTTCAGATGCCTTCCCAGCTCCAGCCTTCCTACCAGTGGTGCCTCGGGGCCCCCTGTCTCTGCCTCCTGGGGGCCAATCATCCCTGCGAGGGGGCAGTTTGGATGTTGGCTCCTCAAGGGACCTTTCCTTGGGCTTGCGGCCCCGCTTCTTTCCTCCTGCCAGAGTTTTCTTCTTCTCTCTCCTAGGCATCAAGGAGTCCTGGCTCCTGTGTTTGGGAGGTGGATCTGCTGAGGTCCGGAACCAATTCTAGGGAAAGAAAACTTACATTGAAGAATGAGGTTCCTACTTCAAATCTGCAGACAGATCTACCTTCTGGCTAAGCAAGCAACTGCAAGGAAGTGGTTGAAGGCAAGGGTCTCCTCCCCCACCCCCACCCCCGCCAGCTGGGTGCCAAACTGAGGCACCTCAGCTTCTTTTTCATTTCAAAGATCTATCATCTCAAATTCTTGACATTTCACTTTCTGAGGAAACTATCATACTTCTCAATGTACACCATTGGAATTACCTGTTCTCTAATACCCAACCCTAAAGTCAGCCCCCAGGCCTATAGGCCCAGAGGATTACTTTCATACCTCCGCATGGGTCTTGAGGATGTGGTACTTGACACCACTCTCAGAGCTGAACTCTTTGGGGCATAGCAGGCAGTGGTACTTCCCTACCAGGTGGTCCCCCTGCAATGCACAATGGTTGAGTACCTCACCTCTGAAAGACTCAAAGCACCCACATCTAGTCCAAGCCTTTATCTTGCTACTAAAAAGTTAGGGGTAGGGTCAGACAGAGAGAAGCCAGTTGTATTTTCTGCCTGGATATGTGCCAAAGGTTGGCTTAGGGACCCATACACTACCCTGCAGTAGGACTATTGAGCCACTCTGCTACAGGGGTAAGTAAGGGGAGGGTAGGAAAAAGCAGGTACCCTAGGGACAGACCAGAGCCCTTTAGTAAACATCCTCATACTAAGCGAGTGTGCCCTCTACTCAAGTCAGGGCGAATATTTATACTACATAGATAAGAAGTCCCCCAGGGCAAGACTTGCAACCAAATGACTAGTGGCTAAGAGAGGGAACAGAGAAGGATTCTGGGATAGCTGTTGAGCATTTACTAGTCTCTGGGATCATGTGCAAGGGACTGGATGGGGTCTGACACTGATGCAGGCAAACCCTTGGTAGGAGTACCCAGTGTTCCACCCAGTCAAGGGGGTAGTCCCAGAACTGACCTTGCTGCAGCTGGCAAGATGGGCCTTGAGGCCGGATACACTGGAATAGATGGCTTCACAGCACTGCAGGCAGGAAACAGGTGTAGGGGAGGCCCTCCCATGGCTCCCACACAGGGAGTACCCCACCTCAACCCTAGGGTTCTCTGGGACCTCTTTGGGGCAGGTAGAGGGGCCTGACCCCTGAAGTCCAGGTGTTTGGGCAAGGTGAGCATGCAGGGCCTGAAGTTGAAGTCCCCTTTGCTAATGTAGTACCTATGTGAGGGCCCTGCAGGAGCCCAGAGTCAAAGGTAGGCTGGTTACACTGAAGGTGGTCACTTCCTAATAGGACATTCACTGTCTTATCCTCTACTGCTGCCCAAAGGGTCACACCTAAGCCCTCTGTCCTGGAGCCCCACCCCCTACTCCCACTACCTACAGGCCCCAGCTCACATCATTGGGACAGTTCACATGGCCCTTCTCCTTGACTTCATTCTTCCATGCCTCCAGCAGCTGGGGGTTAAGTGTAGGGAGGCCTGGCCGAGTGTAGTTGAGCTGCAAAACCAGAAACAGTGCCAGGTGAGCCCTAGGCTGAGGCACACACTGCTCTGACATGTGCTTCTGCAGCAGGCTTACTGCCCCTCCACAGATGGGGTGAGCAGATGGCTAAGGTCACAAGGGAATCAAATGAGGACCATCCTGGTCAGAAACCAAGAGGTTGGGGAGCAATTAGGGAATGGTCAAGGGCTCAGATCCTGCCCAGCCCTTAGATGGGCCACTCACCCGTGCAGTCTCAGGCACAAGGTCATCCTTCATGCGCCGTTTGGTCCAGTCACGGGCCAGCTCGTCCTCTGCAATCTCCTGTAGGTGGAATACGGCAACCTGGGCCGATGTGCGGCGGATGCGACCACTTGGGGTCCGCTCTACACCCAGCAGGTCCTCAGCCTCAGGGGTCTTGTCTGTGGTTTCCTCAGGGGGCTAGATGGCAAGGATACACAGAAGCCAGAATAAGCCACAGAAGGAAGGCATCCAGAGACTAGGAGTCAGGTCAGTATGAGGCATAGGTTTCGTGTGGTCCCCGTAGGCAGGGGGACCCAGGGTGCATACAAGTGTTGGAAGATGTGGTAACACAGAGGAAATAGGGCATTGGGACTCCAGGCTTCCATTTTCCCTTCTAGGACACATTTGACTTAGGATCACTAAGGGCAAGGATCACATCTATCAGGCAGCACATAAATACATGAACACATGCATGACACATAGGCAAGAGCCTTTACCACAGCACAGGCCAGGACAGCAAGGAGGATATGGTGGACCACAGGCCACTCACCGGGGCTGTGTGCTCTGAACGCACATGGTAGTCATGGCCAGCCTTGGAGCGGTAAGTCTTGCCACAGTGGGCACAGGGGAAGGAGGGGCTGTCCACCTCACAGGGTGGCTTCCCGCAGCGCCGCTGATGGTACTGATAACCCATGAGGCTGGAAAAGGCGGCCCCGCAGCCCTGGGGGTCCGGGTCAGAGGTAAGGTAAGCAGTCATTCAGGCTCCAAGTCCTAAGCCCCATATATACCCCACCACTGACCTCTTGAGGGCAACGCAGCCGTCCCATCTGTTTTAGCACCTTTCGAAGCCGCTCTCGCTCCTCCTGCTCACCCCTCTCAGAGGCCTCAGCATCAGTGGGCTGGAGACAGAGCAAGCCTCAGACCTGATGCCAGCCAGGACTTGGGGCCACCGTGGTCCAAGGTCAGGTGTAGGGGAGCAGTAATGGGGATGAGAGGTCAGCAGGGAGGTCTGAACAGGGAGCCGGGGGCATGACAGCATACCTTGGCACTGTGTTCAGCCATGGTGTGGTAGTTGAGGCCAGCCTTGGACTTGAATTGTTTCCGACAGTGCTGGCACTTGAGTGCTTCCTGTAGCTGTAGACATAGCCTAGCCATGAGAAATCCATCTAGGCCAGGAACTCCTCCCTCCTAGTACCTTAAGAGGGAGGGAAAAGCCTTACCTTATGACATACTTCCATGTGCTTCTTGAGCCCCACAAGGGTCTTCCGGGTAACCACGTTGCAGGTGGGGCAGACGGCTTCCCCCCGTTCATGGATGGCTCGTTGCCATTGCTCCTCAGGGCCACCTGTGAGGCAGGGCCAGGCCTCAGGCTTGTGGGGCTCCTGGATGTCCTGGACTCCAGGGGCAGCCCCCATGCCTTTGCTACAGGATCTAGCCCACCATGGAGACCTGTCCTGGGTCTTGCTAGGTAGCCCCCACCTGGGGCTGCGTGGGCCATAGAAGTTGGTGCCTCCTTGCTGACAGTGACAGGGGTGGCCAGCACCTTCTTCCGCACTTCCTCGGGGCTTGGCACCTCTTGCTTCTTGGAGCGGTGAACTCGGGCCTTGTCTTCAGCTTTGGCCAGGCCTGTATGCACACATGGAGTAGACAAGATGTATGGGTTGAATACTGATACATCAAGTCCCAGAGGTGCCCAGTTGGCTGAGTTCTTACCTTTGAGCCCAAAGGTCCCTGAGATGGACGGCTGCTCCCCTGTAAACTTCTTGGGTGTTTTCTGTTTCCTTCCTAACTCGGGGGAGAGAAAAAAAGTGCCAAGACTCTGGTCAAATAACTATCAGGAGGCTAGAACCCACCTGGCCAATGTCCCCAGGACTCTCATCTTACTGTGCTTTGTGCGCTCGGGGTCTTCCTCTGGTTGGGACACTGGGCCTACAGATCGCAGTGCCTCCTTCCCCATCAAGGGCCTGCTGCCTGGGAGCAGGGAACTGCTGCTGGGGTCTGGACTCAGCTGGAAGGTAACACTCTGGCCCATGGTAGATGGGCCATACTCGCCATTCTCTGGCCTTGTCTGCTTAGGCAGGATGGGGCAGGTGTCCAGGCTGTCTGCAGCCCTGCAAGGGGCAAGCAAGGTGAGGTCCAGGCAAACCCAGCGGCCCTTACCCCCAGGTATATCCAATAACTTGCCACCCCAAATGTCTTCCTGTACCTTTTCTTACTGCTGTTCTTGCCTGCAGCACGAGGTGTTTTGTTCTCAGATTTGGTCAACAACACCATTTTGCAGGGTGGTGGTGTGTGTCTGCTGATGGCAATAGGCCTGTTGACTGACACTGGCTTGCTGACAACAATGGGTCTGCTGACTGGTAATGGTTTGGTGACCGGCACAGGTTTTGTAACTGTCACAAGCTTGGTGACTGGCACGTGTTTGGTGACTGGGATGGGCTTGGTGACTGGCACAGGCCTAGTGACTGGCATGGGTCTACTGACTGTGACAGGCTTGGTGACCGGCACAGGCCTTGTGACTGGTATGGGTTTGGTGACCGGCACAGGCCTGCTGACTGTGACTGGCTTGCTGATGCCAATGGGCTTGCTGACCCCCACTGGCTTGCCAACAGTAACAGGTTTGCTCACTCCAATGGGCTTGCTGACCCCAACAGGCCGGTTGATGGTGACTGGCCGGCTGACTGGGCCAGGCTTGGGGGCAGGCAGGGGATGGTCCATGTGATTCCAAATCCGGTGCTTCTCCAGCTGGGTCTTGGAGGTGAATGCGGCCTCGCAGAAGGGGCAAGGGAAGGCCAGCCTATCTGAGATGGCACCCTGGGCAGGGAGGGCAGGTGTGGGACGGGGCCCCGGGGGCCTCTGCCCAGACGCACCCCCAGGCCTCCTCTTCCCCAACCCACAGTCCCTTACCCCTTGGCACCGCTGATAATGGTACTTGAGCCCGTAGATGCTGGGAAATTCTAGCCAGCACCCTGAGTTTGGACACTTCACCCTTGAGTGTGCCTTGAATTCATCTTTCCACTGGTTCATCAGGGAGAGCTGGGCAGAGGAAAAGGCCACTGCTGACCTGTAGCTACCCAGGCTCTACCAACCCAAGTCCTATACTCAGAGATCCCCCAGGCCTTACAGGGCAGAGGAAATGTGAGCTACTCAACCTCAAGAGAAGATAGAGAACTCAAGCCATGCTGCAGACTTATCCTGGGGACTACCAACATAGCCCACTGAGACTTTACAACAATTAGTTGCAAGGGCCCTAGACCTCATGCTAAAACTTGGAGCTGGCACAGGCTATATGGAGGGCAGGTAAGAGCAGGGTAGTGGCCTCCATAGGCTAAATAGCATGAGCCCCACCCCATCCTTCAGGGAGCTCACAGGAATATCTCGGAGAGCCTGGTTCTCGGCTTTCGGCCTCCCCTTTTTCTTCCCTTCTGTCCTGTCACTGGCTGGGCTTCCTGTGTCAAAGCAGAGTGGGGGCTGGCCAGGCATTGTGTGTCCACTGTGGGCCACTGGCATCCCTGCAGCATAGGATACAGCAAGGCTCAGTGGCTGCACAGCATTACCAAACCCCATGGGGAATCAGGCCCAGACTGGATCTTGGCTTACCTACACCAAGGCCCAGGGGCTATCATCTACCCAAGGAAAAAGCCTAGGCCTTAGCTATGACAGTTTCCACCCCTGGAAGGCCCTCAAGACATACAAGAAAGTAGCCTACTCTGCTACTGGCTATCTGTACCACCTAGAATTGATTTTAGCCTTAGCTTCTCACCTAACTTCAGTGGGTCTTGAAGCATGGGAAGTCGGACCTCCTTCCGGCTGCTACCCTTTCCGGGGCTACTTTTGCTGGACCCTTGGAGCCGGCGGCCTCCTCCAACACAGAAGGGGTCAGTCATTTCTGTAGAGCAAGTGCACAGACCTGAGCCCAATAGGTCCAACCCAGGAATTTCACTAGGGCTGCCCAGGAGCCCGCCCACAAGAGGCCTGTCTTTAGCCAGGAAGGAGCCCTGGCCTCCTGTATCTATCATAGGAAAAGCAAGTGATGGGAACTTCTAACTCAGGGGAGGGACTGTACAAGTCTCCCCAGATAACCCAGAAGGAGTTAGTGAGCAGTATGAAAGGGGCTGAGACTTTCACTACCTTTGACACACTCACCCCCACCCCCATTTAGACACACAGTACCAAAGTATGCTGAGAATCAGGTGGGAGACTGTCTCCAGAAGGGCCTTTGCAGGAGGAAGCTGACAACATCCTTTGCAGAACCCTTAACAGAACCAGTAATGGCTGCTGGATCACAGGCAACCATGCCATGACACCTCAGGCCCTGTCCACCCATAGGCCATGTGATACCAACCTACCAAGCTGGGTACCCTTGGAGCCTTCTTCACAATCACAGAAGACAGACAGCATCACTTCCCAACCACATCTACCCATCTCTCTGGTGGGCAGACTAAAACCCACTGGCATTCCATTTTGGTTCCTGCGCTGCTGAGCCAACATACCTGCCTTTCTCAGCCTTGTGAGCAGTCAGGGGCCCTTCACCCAGATGGAGGTCCCTCTCTCAGACCCTGGGCCATCATAAGCTGGCTGGTCACTACACCCCATTATTCTCAACAGTGCCTAGGTTCCTTGCTTCGAAGCCTATTTCAGCTAAACAAGTCATGGTCAATGCTAGCAGCAAAGGTCCAGGCTCCACAGCCTGCCCAGCCACTGACCACAGAGCATACTACTGCCTAAGGTTGGGCCTCTTGCAGAGATAACCAAAGCCACAGAAGAGGCAGTACCAGAGAGCAAGGTTCAAGCAGATGAGCCCTCTTCTGTAAGTTTTTGATCAACTCGGATCAGAGGGTATGGGTAGGGACTGTCATATCCAGGATAGCTAAGGTCAGAGGTCAGGACAGTCACTGTCCATTTGCCAAGGGTGCTATCCATCCTGAGCCTTGGGAAGAGAGAGTCCAAAATAAACCAAAGTTCTCTGGGTGTCCTCCTTTAGACAAGAGTTATCCCGTCTCCTGACGACTCTAGAAGCCGGGGATATAGTGCCTGCTGAGCCTGGGCAGAGCTCGGAGATGCGGGTGAGGCCTGGTCAGCAGCCTAGGGGATAGACCCCTTCCTCCACCTGGGGCTCCCCGGATCTCGCGTGGGACCTCCCGCCGACGCCGGCCGCTCGGCCTGGTCTGACCAGGTGAGCGCTGCCGGGACATGCACCTGGAGGCCCGGGGCCACCCACCTGTCACCTGAGGCCGGACGCGGGCCGAGGTCTGGCCCGGAAGCGCCGACCGCGGGGGGGCGAAGGCAGTGAACCAAAATGGCGACTTTTTCTAGAGAAGGAGGAGGCGGGAGGACAGCGCCGGCGCCCGACGCGGGGCGCGGCGCGGGTCCAGACGCGGAGGGGAGACAGCCTGGGCCCAGGGCTGGTGCGGGTCGCGG